ACTTAAAAAAATAATTTTACTGTTTTTGTAGTTATAGTTTGGCTGACTTTGAATCATTGATGTTTCTATCTCTCTCCCTCTCCTTTCCTCTCTGGAATCAATAAAAAAATATTTTTTTAAAAAAAGGGAAAAACAGACAAAAAACAACAGCTATGGGTTATTCATGGATATGCATAAATGCATTTCTTATTCTTTGTAACAGATAGAATTAGGTGCTTTGACAAAATGCAGAATGATGATACTTGAATAAAAGTATTTTATTTGTTTAGCCTCTGTGTACTTAGATATGGTCACTGCTAACAGAGAACATTTTTCATTAATATTAGTTCAAGACTACCTAATCAGTGTTTGAAGTTAGTTTCTTATAACATCAAGATTTATTTTAGTTAATTTCTTAGTAGAAAACAACTTTTATATACTATAAACTTTTTTTTTAACTTTATAATATTCATTTACTTCTGAAAGAAATCCTGTGTGAGTTTGTGTGTGTATGTGTGTTTTTAATCCAATAGGTGAGAACACATCAAGTTACTTAAGCAAAAATATTTTGGCTTTCCGTGACCATAATGTTCTCTTGGGTACAACTTACCGGATCATAGCTAATGCCCTCAGCAGTGAACCTAGCTGCCTTGCTTATATTGAGGAAAGCAAGGCTAGAAGAATCTTGGAACTTTCTGGATCCACTTCAAAGAATATAGAAAAGGTAATGTTTATTACAAGGATGAACTTTTCATGTTTGCATGTTGTATGTCTTTAATGTGCGACCTTTTGGTTGCATGGAAGAAATGGTAGAGGGCAAAGTCAAGATGGTGGAGTAGGTCAACTGAACTTGACACCTCCTGAGATCACATCGTAATTATGACTCAGTGATAGAATGAACCACCTGAACCTTTGCTGAACAGAATGCCTATGACTAAAGATATAAGGAAAAAGCCACATCACGACAGGTAGGGGGGCAAAGATGTGGAGCAGGTAGATTTTACATGCACTGTGTGGCAATTTAGAAATGAGAGGAATAGATTGGCTCCTTCTGAGGAGCAAGGGGGTCTCAGCCCCACACCAGCCTCCCTAGGCCAGGGCACCTGAGCCGGAAAGAGGAGTCTCCATAACATCTGGCTTTGAAAGCCAGCAGAGATGATGTTGATGGCTCTGTGAGACTGAATTGCCGCTTCTAAAGGGCCCATGCAGAAATTCACTTGCTCTAAGCTCCAACTCAGGGGCAGCAGCTCAGAAAATGCCTGAGATACATAGAGAGAAACTAAATTGAATAACTTCAGGGAGAGGGCTGCAGGGTTAGGGAACTGGGTAACCCTCTCAGGTAATGGAAACACTATTAGGCATGCCATTGTTCCTTCGTTGAACTCCTTTTCCCAGCCAACTGTACCAGCACCACTGGGTACCACATCTGTGCTCTCCATGAACCTGGCAAACATTTGCCCTACCCCAGTATTTCCCTGAAAACCCAAGCCCTTGATCACTGGGCCCTCCCTAGCCTCTTCCATCTTGTCTCCATGAGCAGCCTGCCTAGCTTATATTGCAAACGCTCCAAAAATCCACACACCTCACAAGAGTATTGTCTAACCTTGGCTCATGCATCAGACTCTCTCAGAAGTCCACAAGCTTCACACCAGCAATAGCCAGCATCAGTGTGCATTGTAGCTTCTGCCAAGTGGCCCAGCACAATAGCCATTGGCTTCAGCTTACGCAAAGTTGGGCCCACCTAGTGGGAAATATTTCCCACTAGGTGGGCCCAACTTTGCGTAAGTGTTGGTCAGTCTTAGATCCAATTGAGCAGCCACAAGCCCAGCACAAGCAGCGGCCAGCCTCAGTTTACATCATAGTGCCCACCAAAGGGTGCCAAGCCCAGCACAAGCAATAGCTGGCTTGGTTCTTTCATGCACTTCCAAGCCCAGCACAAGCAGCTACCAACTGCAGATCAATTTGTAGCTCCTACCAAGTGACCACAGATGAGGCACAAGCTGTGCTGACCCTAACCCATACCAAACCCCTCTCAAGAGAATCCAGACACAAAACACCCATTGGACAGTCTCAGCTGGCACCAGAGCCCATAGGGCAACTCCCATTTTGTGGTCAGCCCCTGCTCAACAGCTCACACACTGAAGTCACAGATGGCTCTTACAGCCAGTCACTCTGAGTGCCAGCCCCACCCACTGCCATTCCAGCAGCAATTGAGGCCCAACTACATCAGGAGGGCACATATAACTCCCACTCAGTCACCACTAGCACCTGGCTCAGGAGATAAGGAAGACTGCCACTGGATCCCACAGGACACCTCCTACGAAAGGCCACACTTTCAAGAATGAGAGATGGAACAAATATATCTAAAGCATGGAAACAAACCCAGAGAGTGAGCAAAAAGGAGGAGACAAACAGGCCCCAAGCTATAAAACAGGACAAAAGTTCAGGGAAAAATATAAGTGAAATAGAGACAAGCAATCTGCTAGGTAAAGAGTTCAAAGCGCTGGTTATAATTATGCTCAGTGAACATGGGAGAAGAACTCAAGGAGAACTTAAAGAGATGGAAAAGATAATAAAGAACCAATCAGCGTTTAAGGCTACAATAACTGCAATGAAGAATATGCAGATTAAATGAAGCAGAGAATCAAATCAGCAGTTTTTGGGAGACAAGGTAGCAGAAAACACCAGGACAGCTAAATAAAAAGAAAAAGTAATTTAAATAATGAGGATAGTTGAATAAGGGACCTTTGGGGACAATATTAATTGCACTAATATTTACATTTTAGCAGTCCCAGAGAAGAGAGAAAGACAGTGATTAAATACTATTTGAAGAAATAATGACTGAAAAATTTTCTAAACTCTTGAAGGACATACACTTCCAGGTACAGGAAGTGTGGAGAGTCCCAAATCAGATGAACCCAAGAGCTCTAGCCCTAGTTGGTGTTTCTCAATGGTTAGAGCGTTCGCCCACGCACTGAAGGGTTGCGGGTTCAATTCCTGCTCAAGAGTACATGCCTGGGTTTCGGTTCGCGCCCTTCCCCCAGTTGGTGAGCGAGCAGGACACAGCCAGTTGATGTGTCTCTCTCTCATTGATGTTTTACTCTGTCTCTCCCCAACCCCCATCTCCCTTCCTCTCTTCCCCTCTCTCTGAAGAAGCAATGGAGAACATATCCTTACGTGAGGGGGAAAACATGAACCCAAAGAGACTACTAAAATGCCTAAGATTAAAGACAAAGAGAATACAAAAAGTATCAAGCCAAAATCATCATCTTACATGCAAGGAATTTCCCATAAGACCATCAGTTGATTTTTCAACAGAAGCTTTGCAAGCCCAAAGATCAATTATATATTCTGTTAAAAGTGACACAAGATAAAACCTATAACCAAGATTATTCTATCCAGCAAGGTTATCTTTTAGAATTGTAGGAAAGGTATTTTCCCAGACAAGCAAAAGATTAAGGAATCCATCACTACCAAATTAGCAGTACATGAAATCTTGACTGGACTTCTATAAGTAGAAAAATCAAAAAGATAAAAATTAAAATGTAGAACAGAAAAAAAAATCTCACAAAGGCAAACACTTAGTAAGAACAGTAAATCAATAAAAAAGTCAAAAGTGTGAACTTAATGTGTAAATATAACAGTAAGGAATATACATACACAGAGAGGTAAAATATAATGACAAAAACTGGGGGAGAAGAGGGAGAACAGAAAATCAACAAGGAAACCATGGCCTCAAATGACACATTATAGCAGATGGGGACTTAATTGCTATTTTTAGACATTTCACCCCAAAACAGAATATACATGGGACATTATCCAGAATAGACCATATGCAAAGCCACAAAACAAGATTTAATAAATGTAAGGGGATGAAATCATATCATAGCATGTTCAGTGATCCCAATGATATAAAACTAGAAATGAAATTCAAGTAGAAAACTGGGAAATACACAAACACATGGAAGATAAACAACATGCTACTAATTAGTAAATGGGTTAACTATGAGATCAAGGAGGAATCAAGATATATTGAGACAAATGAAAATGAAAACAGTGAGCCAAAGTATGAGAATAACCAAAGTATTTCTAAGCAGGAAATCTATAGTAATATAAGCCTACCTCAAGAAACAAGAAAAATGTCAAATAATCTAAAGTTAATATCCAAAGAAACTAGAAAAAGAAGAGCAAACAAAGCCCAAAGTGAGTAGAAAGAAGGAAACAATGAAGATCATAGCAGAAATAAATGAGTCTTAAAAAAAAACAACAACCAGACAAGATCAATAAAAACGAGAGCTGGCTCTTGAAAAGACAAAATTGACAAATCTTTCATTAGACCCACCAAGAAAAAAAGGACCCAAATAAATCACTAATGAAAGGGGAGAAGTGACAACCAACACCAAAGAAATACATAGGTTTATAAGAAAATTCTGCAGTTATATGCCAACAAATTATATAAATCAAGAAGAAACAAAATTTAAACAGAATCATAACTAGTAATGAAATTGAATCAATTATCATAAAACACCCACTAAATTAAAAGTGTTTGACCACGCTGAAACTGGTTTGGCTCAATGGATAGAGCGTCAGCTTGGGGATGGAAAGGTCCCTGGTTCGATTCTGGTCAAGGGCTTGTACCTTGGTTGCGGGCATGTACCTTGGTTGCGGGCATATCCCCAGTAGGGGTTGTGCAAGAGGCAGCTGATCGATGACTCTCATCCATGTTTCTAGCTCTCTCTCTCCCCCTTCCTCTCTGTACAAAATCAATAAAATAAAATTAAAATATATATATATATATTAAAAAAAAAAAGTGTTTGACCAGATGGCTTCATAAGTGAATTCTACCAATATTCAAAGTAAAATTAATGCCTACTCTCTAATTATTCCAAAAAATTAAAAAAGAAAATGTTCCCAAACTCATTTTACAAAGCCAGCATTACCCTGATACCAAAACTAGACATTAAAAAATAAAATAAAAATAGGTTCCCAAAATATCAAGAACGCATGCGTGCGCTGCTTCTTTCCTTTTGCCTCGTTGCTACCGAGTGAGTAAGATGGGTCACCAGCAACTCTACTGGAGCCACCCGAGGAAATTCGGCCAGGGCTCTCGCTCTTGCCGCGTCTGCTCCAACCGCCACGGCCTGATCCGGAAGTACGGCCTCAACATGTGCCGCCAGTGTTTCCGCCAGTACGCGAAGGACATCGGCTTCATTAAGTTGGACTAAGGGAACTTCTGTGAATGGGTCATTGAAGACATCTCTCTACCTTACGACAATGCTATCTTTGTACATAAAATAAAAAAAAACAACACTTCAAAAAATAAATAAATAAAAATAAAATTACCAGTTAATATCCATGATGAATAGACAGGCAAAAATCCTAATCAAACTATTAGCAATCCAAATTTAATGATATATTAAAAGGATATATACTTTGACCAATTGAGTTTTATTCCAGAAGTGCAAAGTTTGTTTAATATCTGCAAATTAAGGTGCTACTCCACAGCAACAGAAGGATAAAAACCCTCAGAAAACCGGGGATAGAGGGTACATACCTCAACATAACAAAGGCCATATATGACCCACAGCTAATATCATACTCTGTGGTGAAAAACTAGAAGTTTTTTTCTTAATATCAGGAACAGGAAAAGGAGTCTCCTTTCATCACTTTTATTCAACACAGTATTGAAAGTCCTAACTACAGCAATCAGATTAGAAAAAGTAATTAAATGATAACAACTTGGAAAGGAAGAAGTAAACTCTCATTATTTTCACATGACCTGATACTATCTAGAGAACCCTAAAGCATTAAAACTAATTAATGAAATCCATAAAGTAGGAAGATTTTAAATTAATATTTAGAAATAATTGCACTTTCATATACCAATAACATACTATCAGAGAAATTAAGAAAGTCCCATTTACAATTGCATCAAAAAGAATAAAATATTGAGGGATAAATTTTTAACCAGGGATCGGGCCTAAACAGGTCATCAGACATCCCTCTCACAATCCTGGACCACTGGCTCCTAATTGCTCACCTGCTTGCCTGCCTGATTGCCTAAATTGCCCTCCCTGCCAGCCTGATCACCCCTAACTGCCTCCCCCTGCCAGCCTGGTCACCCATAACTGCCCTTCCTGCTAGCCTAGTTGCCCCACAATGACCCCCCCTGCCAGCTTAATCGCACCCAGCTGCCCCCCACTGCTGGTCTGGTTGCCCCTAACTGCACACACACACACCCCACCGGCCTGGTTGCCCCACGCAGCCTGCTGTTCATTTGTTTGGTCATCCCTCAGTAACCGCCTGCAGGCATGGTCATAGGCAGCCATCATGTGAGGGTTAGTTTGCATATTACCTCTTTATTATATAGGATTCACTTTTTTCAACATTAAAAATAGGATTTTTTAAAAATATATTTTTTATTGAGTTTTTACAGAGAGGAAAAAAGAGGGATAGAGAGTTAGAAACGTCTACGAGAATCATTGACCAGCTGCCTCCTGCACACCTCATGCTGGGGATGTGCCCACAACCAATGTACATGCCCTTGACCGGAATCGAACCTGGGACCTTTCAGTCCGCAGACCGATGCTCTATCCACTGAGCCAAACCGGTTTCGGCTAAAAATAGGATATTTGTGTTAAAATGATTTGGATGGTTCTTCCGTGACTTTGTTAATGGAGTTTCACTACCTGTCCCCACTCAGGTTTCCTACTAGTTTGTGGGACAACCAGCCCCTTTCACTTTTTTACTTAGTGCCTGCTTTTTAAAATCACTTCGTATTTTCATAGTTATCAGCCTCTCATCTCACCAGGAGCCACCTCATTTTAGTTGTGTAGCCTTGCCGCCTTCTGTCAGTGTTACCAACATCTGTGCAGGACATTGGCCACAGGAGCCAACTCCCATCTCTTCAATTCCTGACGAGCTGTGTGATCCACATGGACTTTGAGTGCCCACTCCATGTGACGGGACAATCTGGCTCACACATGGCTTATTCTTTTTTATTCGGAAGTTTTTTAAATATTCGGGATCTTACTGGAATTGCTTCCTCTTTCACAGGGCAGACTCTCCCTTTTCTATTTAGCCAATTTTTTATATTTATTATTTTACTAGAGGCCTGGTGATGAATTCATACATTGTTGGGGTCCCTCGGCCTGGCCAGCAATCAGGGCCAATCGGGGCAGGCCGAAGGGAGGGACCGTGAGAGGTTGGCCAACAGGGGGAGGCACCACAGGATGTTGGCCGGCTGTGGGAGCATACTGATCACCAGGGGGCAGCTCCTGCATTGAGCATCTGCCTCCTGGTGGTCAGTGTGGGCCATAGCAACAAGCCTGTTGTCCAGTCATAACAGTCATTTAGATTTATTTATATACACACACACACACACATACATACACTAGATGCCTGGTGCACGAATTTGTGCACCAATGGGGTCCCTCAGCCTGGCCTGCGGGATCAGGCCAAAACAGTTACTCTGATATCCCTTGAGGGGTCCCAGATTGTGAGAGAGTTCAGGCCAGGGCGAGGGACCCCACCAGTGCATGAGAGGGGCTGGGGAAAGATGCAGGAGGTTGGCCAGCCAAGGAGGGGCTGAGGGAGGGCTCCAGGGCGTGTCCGGCCCGTCTTGTTCAGTCCGGATTGGCTGGACCCCAGCAGCAAGCTAACCTACTGGTTGGAGCATCTGCCCCCTGATGGTCAGTGCATATCATTGAAACTGATTGGTCGACTGACTACCCCCTGGTAGTCAGTGCACGTCATAGTGAGCAGTTGAGTCACCTTAGCTTATCATTAGCCTATTATGCTTGATTTGTTGGATGGACAACTGGACGATCAGACACTTAACATATTATGCTTTTATGTATAGGATAGATGACTAATAAATTACAAGTATTCTACCTTTATCATCACAAGTAGGAAGTAGACTTTGTCCACAGAATTTGAGTCCCGCTGGCAGGTTTTCTGAGACCTCTGTGAATTCTAGGTGGTCACAGCGCTGCACCAGAGAGCGTTTCATCACCTTTCCGAGGCCACAAGGACAGCTGAGGAGGAAACCCCTTCCGGCCGGGGCCCGCAGCCCGCAGCTGGGGTCGTAGATGCGTACATGGCGCTGGTGGATTTCTGTGACCAGCGGCTCCGGGAGGAGGAAGAGACTGCCTCAGGTGACTCACAAAGAAAAGAACATTGTGTCCCATTAGGTTACTGTAAAGTCTTTAGAACTTTGTACAGACTTTTGGTTTCCTATTTGTGTGTGGGGTTTTTTTTTAATGAGGAAAGTCTTGCCTATTTAAGAGGGAATGACATCTCCAAGCACCATGACCTGTTCATCTTCCATCCTGGGGTCAAGCTGCCTTCCAGCTCTCCATTTACTTCACTTCCACTGGCATGTTCTGCTTGTTTGGTATTATTGGCCTTATGTATTCCTGGAATTAATTCAGGATTCGGCAGCTGCCCCCGATGTTTCCAGCCCCGGAAGCAGACAGTGCTTCCTGCAGAAGGGAATGTCATAGGAAATTCAGTTTTGAGGTGGGAACTTGTATGTGTAGTCCAAAATTGCTTCCAGTCTTTTACAGAAGTTAGGGAGGAAAAATGACATACTACAGAATATAAGCCAAAAGGGAAACTAGAATCACATGTTACATTTGTAACCTGTGTGTAAGTGGATATATTGACCAGGGCTGTTTTTATCCCTGTCCATGTTAGTTACTGAGTCCGCAGAACTGCAGACGTATCCTGCCCTGGTGGTGGACAAAATGCTGAAAGCTTTAAAGTTACATTCCAACGAGGCCAGGCTGAAGTTCCCCAGGCTGCTGCAGATTGTAGAGCAGCACCCAGAGGAGACGCTGAGCCTGATGGCAAAAGAGGTGAGTGTCTTAGTCTGTGGACCCTCAAGACATATTCCTATTTCTATCCAAGCACATTAATGTGTATAATGCATATATTTTAGCTTTTCCTAACAAGCATCTAATTTTGCTGCATTCCAAGAACATGGGTAATTTAAAACTGTATAAAGGAGTATTCACATTTACCCATTTTCCTTAGTGGATGGTGATAACTCTGAACAAGGACCCCAAGAAATAGAGGAGGAGGTAGGTATATCTGGGACAGAGATGGGAATGTTCTGGAGTACAGTTCACTGTCGGTAAAGACAAAGTTGTGGTCTTATACCTGTTAGTGCCTGTGCTCAGTGCATTACTTAGTCCAAGGAGAAAGGACTCCATTTCAGCTGCATCCCATCCCAGGTGACTGTGGTGCCTGCAGTAGCACCGAGTCCAGAGGGACCCAGGGGCATCCAGTTCACCGAGTGCAGCTCGCGTGTGTGGGCGCACAGAAGCAGCCTGCAGTCCCACACATGTTCTCGTCACCAGCTTGTATGTCCCTGCTGTCCGCACCCCATACTGGGCTTCGTCATCCTGCTGCCTTCCTGTCTGTTAGGCACCTCTGTAAAAGGAGGGCTCCTTGCTGACCTTTATAGACGTTTAACTGAAAATAGGGAACTTATGAGCTGATAACTGAAACACTGATACAATACTAGCCATCTTAGTGGGGTTTTAACAGTGAGGCCTCTGAGCTGAGACGCAGGCCGGTCAGGGCTTCCCCACTCCGGCCCTGTGGGTGGGGAGCGGTGGGCTTGTGGGGGCTGTGGGCTTGAGTCAGTGGGTCTTAAACAGCGGATTAGCTCTAGAAATGCACTACAGCTGTGCTTTTCCTAAAGACAAGTGAAGGAATAAGTTGTAATTTCATTTTAAATTATTTTATTTACATATGTAATGAAGATAGCATTTTCACTTTTTGAGAAAATGAAGGATTACGCCAATGCTATGACACTGGAGATACACGTGAGATGGGCAGCTCACCTCCGCTGTGCGCTCCCAGGGCTGTGTATTCTGACACGTTTTATGCTCACACACCCTGCTCTTCCCTCACTTATGGTAAAGTTAGGGAGCTTGCCCACATTCACTCATGCCAATATGCCAAGTATGTCAGATTTTATCTTAAAATTAACACCTTAAAAAGCATTTTAATTTTGAATAAATTTTGAAAATAGTCTTGGTGCAAAGAAACAAAAACCAGAAGCCATGAAGAAAAATGATATGACACTTCTATGCAGGAAAAGAAAATATTCCATATCCAAAGTTTAAAAAACTGGGAGGAAATGTTTTCAGTACGTATTAGAGACAAGGTTGAGGTGCCCACTCGACACCATAAATAGAACAGTCGAGAGTGGTTTACAGGAAATGCACACGTGATTATTGAGGCAACACACATAGACAG